TCCAGTGCTGTTTAAGGCTGAATCCAAGCACAGGTGGCATGGGGGGTGGTAGAGTGGGGGGCGGCCAGCTCTCAGCCCTCTGCTTTTATTTTGGGGCTTTCTGAGTTCCTTTGGCCATGGGCAGAGGCATGCTCTGCACTAGGCAAGTCTTCAGTAAAGATAACATCTGGATTTCAGACAAGATCTGCTGAGCATGTGCAAGCAGAGAACAGTGATTTACAGCTAGGTCAGAATTGGCTGGATTTTCATATGGCTAGCAAGTACAGGCTGATGCCCCCAGGGATCAGCCCCCGCTAATTTCAAGCCCCTGCATGAAGCACTGAACTGCAATAAAACCACTGTAAGACATTTTCAGCATGGGCCAACCACCATATTTTTCACTAACCTCATTCTTGGAAGTTGCTGACTGGCTTTCAGTGAAATGTTCCCAAAAAAATTCAGCCCAACACAGAGACCAAGGATGGAAAATTTCAGCCTAGAATGATTAAAATATGACAAAATTAAAAGCAACTGAAAACTGTATCTTATAATCAAAAGTGTTAAGCAATGTTAAATATAGGATTCGTTGCCATCTCCACCTATAATAGAGGGATGGCTATTTAAATATTTAATTTTGGGAAAACTTTCCTGCATGACTGACATGCAAGGAAAAAATCTTTTCCTTCCAAACACGGGGCATATGTCTAAGAAAGACATCTGATAAGGAAAAACAGTGGTGACTGTATGCTAACTGTTATGTGATCTGAGTTACTTACATTGTTTAGAGTCCACCAAATTCTTCACCAAAGTGTTGTAAAGTCCTAGACTGAACCCACAACTGCATCAGTGAGGTAGATGTCAGCTTGACCCATGGTGATTTGCCATCTGTGAAAAGCAAACAAATATAACCAACTGGAGTAACGAGCATTGTGATTGTAATAGGAACTGGAGCACAGATTTACACGGGATCTTTGTGTTTGGACTCACAAGCCTTTCACTATGTTAGTATTGAAAAGTAAGCAACTGCAAAACCCCAGCTGTGCAGGTTTGTGCAAAAATCAAACTTTAGCTGTTGGCTGCTTGACACTCTACCTGCAAGGCTGGACCAAATCTGTGAGTATTTCCTATATTATTTTTTTTTTTCACTCCTCACAAGAAGGCAGAAAGACTTCTGGCAAAGCTTTTAGAGAGTCTTTTTAAGTCTTTTATTGTATTCCAATGAAAGGGCTCCAGAACTTTAAAACTTGTCCGCTTTTTTCAAGTATGTAGCAGGGGCTTTAATAAAAGGTATTATCTCTGTGGCAAATTTTGATTCCCTTAGAACTTTAGAGCTTTGCAGCTAAATCAGAAGTATTACCAGTATCAGAGAAAACGCTACTTATGGGACAAGAAGTCATTGATACTTTGAACTGAGTCCATTGCTGAAGGAAAAGAATCTCTCTAGATGTAAAGTACAGTCTCTTGAAAGCCACAGCACAAAAGTAGAGATTTTTCCCTTTTCCTGATCCAAAATACAGTCTGTGACTATTTTTAAATTCATGTAAAATTATGACAACCATGGAACCATAATCTTTACGGTTTGGCGAGTTGGCTACAATGTACATCCCTAAAGTAGGCAAGTACTGAGATCAGCATAATGAGAAATATGACAGAGGACTCTGCAGATAACTTGTAGGTTGTAACGAAGATCAGGCCAGACCAGATGTAGCTACACTTATTGCTATGCTGTGCACCAGAAAATGTTAAGAATAGAACACAGGGAATGAAGATTTCCAAACATATTCGCAGGCACTCTTGTGATGTGATCGTATCAGTTTTAAGGCCATAGTGCATGGCAGGCCATCAAGTACTGATTTTTTTCCCCGTTATTACCAACATAGATTGATATATATGACCCAAAGCTGACATCTAGTGGACAGAGAATGAGTGTATGGTTTTCCTTCCCTTCCCAGGGACGCACTCCGTTGTGTGTAGATGGTAAAGATGGCACTTTGCTCATCTCTTTAGAAGTGACCTGAAGGCTGTCTGATGGATGATGGCTCGACCTGGGCAGGAAAGCAAACCAAGGAGCTCACTGGCACCCTGGATAAGTGTGGACACCTTGTCTCATTTGTGACACCTGTATCATCCACAGCTGGATGCCAGAAGCTAGCTTCACAGAGCTGTCGGTGGATTATGAGCTCTGAAGGCTGCGTTTAAAAAGCTTCAAAAGACAATAGTATAGATGATCGTGCCTGGTAGAGTTTGGGCAGGGTGTCATGAATACATTTAACAGAAGAGTAGATGTTCACTACAGCTGCAAAGATGGTGTCAGTGACCTAGGATTTCTACTGTCTGGAATGTGAGATCTGCAGTCCTGGATCAAACCAACATCTTCAATACAGGTCCCGAGGCTGCAGCTCTGTTCAGGTTCCAGCTCTTTCCCAGGCCTTTGGCTCAGTCGCTGCCCCAGCTGGGATGTGAGAGCACAATACTGGCAAAGCTTTGGGAATGTTTTCACAAGCTTCTGCCTCACCCTCTGCACCTGGTATCTTATGTTTATGAGAAAAATATCTCAACTTTCAGTTAGTAAAAATCAAAGTTTCAAGCTCTCATGTTTGCATGGAAAAACTGAAATATAAGCCCTAATGGCTAAAAAACCCAAAAGGCAAATAAAACTGTGTTTACTTTTCATATCTTGCAAATTTACGTTAATGTCATAAATCTGTTGGCACTTCAGTCCTGGTTTGTAATGCTTAGAAGTGGAGATGGAGGGAAGCACAGAGAAGTCCCACCAGCTCCAAGCACAGGATCCAAAGGAGGGAATCTGCAAGCCCAGTGTGAGAGCAGCTGGATCACGAGAGTGCTCATAACCTTCTGAAAATGGCAGAAGACAAAGGGTACTTTATTTGTTCATATACTTTCGGAAGCAAAAAAAGTCTCTTCCACACATCGAGGTGAAGATTCAAGGCACTGTAGCTGTGGGCTGTAACAGCTCACACTGTCTGTGGATCATCGTTTTGGTTGGATTTATAGCACATTCAACAACAAGTCAGCAACAGTTTAGGGATTCAGTCAAAACTCCTGAAATACTGTTGCTTCGCTAAATGAATGCACAGTCTTCAGCCACTGCCGAAGAGCACAGCCCCAGTGCTGTGTCCCAAGCAATCGTGTTGCTGACAAGGTGATGTATGTTTTTGGAAAGACCTTTTTATCCTCTGATAGCAGAAAAAAGTTACTGTTATACAAACAGTACAAAGTTTGCTGCAGGATTGAGCTTTAATCTCTGGTGGTTGTTTATTGACTCCAGAAAAAACAGTGGCTACTCAGTAAAAAGACCTCCTCTACATCATCTTTGCAGGTAAACTCGAAGGAGAGGATCTCGCCTCCTGCGTCTCCCCCGAAACCCAAAGTAAGTCTGAACTGAGGTCTGAATCAGGAGACAGTGGGCCTGGGTTGTTTGAAATTCCCATTTGTTCTGCCATGAGAGAACTTAGTTTATCTTTTTGTGCTTGCTGGCTTTGACCTTTCTAACAGTTGGAAAAGCAGAAGTCATGACATGTGCTTTACAGTATATCACAATGTATGATATACGAAGACTTGTGCTACCAGCAGTGCTTGATGCCTTGAGGGCATACAGACAAGTCTTGGGATATTTTTCCCACCTGCTACCTAATGCCTTTTGTCAGAGGAGACAAAACAATACTGAAGAAATCAGTCACATTTCTTCTTCATTTTCCAATGAGTCCCTCATCTTGGTCTCTATCTTAGCAGAGAATTATGAAACCTAATTTTCAAGTGTATACACGGGGCCCGCAGTCAGTGAGACATATCCATGTCTGCAGTATGACAGGTTGGATCTGTGTACCTAACCTATGTGTTTTTCTGCGCTGAAATTGTACAACATTGGACACACAGGACTGGTTTTGGTGAATCTTTCAACCCCTGATAATATGCTGTGGGAGGCTAATCCTGAAAACTAGGATATTTATGTCTTCCTGTACAATTTTAGAAAAATTAGAACCAAACCACAGCTGTTTTAAAACTTCATGTTTTCATATACCTTGCAAAATGCCTATTTTAATCAGAGCTGTGGAAGTAATTACAACAAACAATTTAGCAAATTGATTTTGTCTGTGTTTTGTACATGTTTCCTCTCACATGGGCATGGTTTGCTGAAACATTAATTTGCAAAGCGTTTAGTCCTGGCTGGCTCAACAGCATATACGTTCAGGCATTTGCTAGGCAGCATTTATGTTGGTTTGATTAGACATCTGGGTCACACAACGTCACTTCTGTTCCCTGAAAGATTGAAAGTAGTTCTTGGAATCATGTTTCATACTGTGGAATTTGCTTTTTGTCAGTGTTTTCTCATAATTTGTTCAAATTTTGTATGCTCCCTTTTAATATGTATCAGTGCTCCAGTATGTAATGCAAACACCCAGAAGATACTTCTTACAAAAGAGAAATGAAGATCTGTAGAAAATACTTTGGTTTTCTGCAGTGCTGGCCTTGACAGTGACTTGCACTCAGTCTGGACATAGTTTTACAATGTGTTCATACTGGAGCAGGTTAGATGTAGACTCCGTCTTTACTTGTTTCCAGATTCCATGAGCTTGAATTTAGTCACTGCATTCCAGCAAATGTTATTTTGGGACAACCTTTGAGGGAAGTTAGTGGAACAAATAACCCAGCTAGTTTTAGGATAGATTTTATGACAGAATTACACAATTGCTGTGTCTTAAAATAACAGAGGACCTAAAATGTCCTCTTCAGGCTTCTGTTTAAGACAGAATAGAGGCACAGAGATGTAAGCTTCTTCCTACTCTTATGGCTGCATCTGAAAGTTTTCCTCATACTAGGGGAGAAGCTGAATGGCAAGATAGACTGAGACAACCTCTCAGCAACTTTTCTACAATACAAATAGATCCAAGGTTTGCGTTAAGTGACAGCAGAGCCCCTGGAATAGAGAATGACAGTTCAGGGATCTAATTTCCACTCCATGTTATTCTTTTCTTCAGGGTTCCCAGAGCCTCTCAGCAATGGCTATGGTGTGTCTTTCAGACTTTGAAGCTTATGCCAAAAAGTATTTACCCAAGATTGCTTGGGATTTTTTTGCAGCTGGAGCAGATGACTGTAGCACCCGAGATGAAAATATCCTGGCATATAAAAGGTAATGTGAGGAGGAAATGAGGGGTGTTGTACTGGAAGATTTTAAACTGTGTTTTTGTGCAAGAGTTTGGACTTCACAAGTAAAGATGCCTAACACCCTGCCCTTTCAAGGTGGTCCCCGAGCGAAATGCATTTACCTGAGTGGCATATGCTGTACACTCTGATGCTAGCCTGAATATGACACAGACTGTATGAGGCATAAGGGATACTGAGAGTACAGGCAAATGGTAGGGTAGGGTAGAGTATGATATGGTATGGTATGACGGGAAAGGGGATGTGTGGCTGTAATAGAATGAGAGGCAATGGGGAGAATTTGGTGAACAGCAGGAAGCCTATGTATAAGTAGAATGGGATTTGGGGAACACGCTGCAGAAATTGAGGGCAGGCACAACGTTCAGTGTGGACAGACATACAAATGGTGGAGTGGAAGGCAGCGGCCTAGGACTGAGCTGCAAGTAGAAGGCATCTGTGGGATGCACAGTGGGAGAACATGAGCTGGTGAGTTGAGGTGAGAAATGCTGAAATGATGTACTATGGACAGTAAGCAGGAGTATGGAATTAATGAAAAGTGGAACTGGCTGAACTGCTGGCTATATTGACCTCTAAAAGCAACCAGAAAGAACAAAGAGTCTTTGTTATATGCGACTTTCTTTATTGGCTCAGATTCCTGAATTGCAATAGGTAAATTGAGATCTGGTTTCCATGAAACCTCAGAAAAGCCACTGAAGAGCTACCATCCTGAAGGGATTTTTTTTGCCTTACAGAATTCGTTTCCGGCCACGTATGCTGTGTGATGTATCCATGATGGACATTAGAACTAAGCTTCTGGGGACTGAAATCAGCTTTCCTGTAGGAATCGCCCCTACTGGCTTCCACCAGCTAGCATGGCCTGATGGAGAGAAAAGTACAGCCAGAGGTACTCTTCTGCTTTGTTGCTGTGTAGCAAAAAGGGGCTTGTAGGAAATCCTCAAGAAGCTGTTAGGATTACTTGAAGTGTGACTGAGAAAAATATTCAGGCTTGAAGTTGCAAACTCCTTCCCCACTTTCTGACATCCCTTTTTGTGGATGACCCACTGGGGTCTGATGACACAGAGTGTGTGGGAAGCCGTATAGACATTGCTCTACTTCTCCAGCTACCACTATTATGAGATCAGCTCTGTGGAGGCTGCTACAAACTTAAGACAGAAGCTGTGGACATGTTTCTGGTGTACACCAAGGACCACACAGGTCCTCAGTGCTGTGGGCTCTAGATAGGACATAAATGGGTGGTTGGGACTCAGCCTGTAAATTCATTGTTACTGGTAAGAACAGTGTCTCCCTTGGAGAAAAAACATAACCCCTCTTTGAAAATCTTGAGGTGGGCTTGGAGAGCTGACCCTTGGAAATATCTTTTTTCCTGTGTGTGTTTCTCTGTACACTGAGTGCATTTGACAGTGCATTCCAGTAAAGACACAGTCATAAAGTTCATGTTTTTTAAACTAATAGTTGCAGAATGAAAGCACTACTTGGTAAATTACTTCTCCCTTTCCTGTTTTCTTAACAGTGATCCTACAAGAGTCCATGGTAAATATAGCCATTTTTAACCCAAACACATATTTGCAATTGTTAGAGCACTGTGTTTGGTACGATATAAGTAAAACAGGAGTTCAGGTGATCTCTGCAAACAGTACATAATTTTGTACCTGATGTCTGGCAAGACTGTTCAAATGACTCATTCTGATTCTTTTCCAACACCTCCCAAAGCGGCCAAGGTGATGAACATCTGTTACATTACAAGCACATACTCCACCTGCACGCTGGAGGAGATCTCTGCTGCTGCCCCCGGCAGCCTCCGCTGGTTCCAGCTCTACATCCACCGCAACCGGGCGGTTTCCCAGCAGCTAGTCCAACGGGCGGAGGCCTTGGGTTTCCAGGGCCTCGTCCTCACCGCGGATCTGCCCTACACAGGCAAAAGACGCGACGATGTCCGCAATGGTTTCCGCCTTCCTCCCCACATGAAACTGAAGAATTTGGAAGAAGCCTTTGAGGTTTGTAAAATGAGCCTGTCCTTTCATCCGCTGCGCTGGCATGTACCACAGGAGACAAAAGCACTGGGTAACTGCTGCTTTGGCATCTGCTGCACACAGGGCGTATCTTCTCCCCTTCTGATTCTGCAGCATCCTGGCTTGACCTCCTGCTAGCCTGGGTTCTGGCTTCAAAATCCCAGTCCGGCTGCCTTAGACACACTGATCTCCATCCCCACTGTAATTATTCTCTTCCAGAGACACGTGCTTTCTGAAGCTGATGAACATGTCTGTTAACAAGTTTAATTTGTTCTAGGTCAGGGAAAGATGTCAAGGGGCCTCTGTATTGTTCAGATGAGATCAGATGAGGTTTCCTTCTGCCCTCTGGCTATAGGGAGATGACCGTTCTGAGTACGGACTGCCACCCAACAGCTTGGATCCTTCGGTCACCTGGAACGATATCTACTGGCTACGGAGCCTGACCCACCTGCCCATCATCATCAAAGGCATCTTGACAAAAGAAGATGCAGAGCTGGCAGTGAGACATGGAGTTCAGGGAATTATTGTGTCCAATCATGGTGGAAGGCAACTGGATGGAGGACCGGCCACTGTAAGTGAGAAAATGGATGTCCCATGAGTGTTTATTGTATGCACATTTGAGCTAAACTGGGTATCTCTATGCTCATCTTTGTATATATGCTTCTGGTGGACTTGTGTGTTCATTGTGTGGCCGTGGATGTGTGCAGATGTGCTTCAGCTTTGAACTGGTAAGATGCATGCCTTGGCATGGAATACCCCTTGAAGTATTTGCTCAGCTTCTTGGGAGGGTTCTGTAGGCAGTACTGAAGACACACAGCTGCATATAAACTACTGGCCTAAGTTAGTAAAAGTTTCTGCCTATGTCTTCATTAGCTGGTGCAGTGCACATGCACTCTTTGTGCACTGCAGCAACAATAAAATGAAGCTCTGGAACCAAAAACGTACAAATGAGAGCATAATGTCTTCTTGTTGCTCAGATCTGCCAAAACATGCACAAACAATGTCTCTAGATTTAGCGAGAGGTCTGCTTGCGTATTTACAGACTCAACTCTAAATGGGAATTTATTGACTTTCATGAGCAAGAAAAAGTATAACTTTTCCAGGGAAAAATTCCCCCACTTTTTACTCTGTACAAAGAAATGGTGGGTTGTTTGGATGCACGTGTATTTCACCGGTTTGATTTGGTTTCTGACAGTTTTTCCAATTGTTCTTATTTTATAGTTTGGCATTGCATAATATCTTACGGACTTTCTTTTTCTCTGTTTTCCTCTGTACAATAAAAATAAGTATCAAGGAATTCTATTCTATGTCAAGGCTGACAACAAAGAATATAAAAAAAAAATTAATCTAAACGCTCAGGTCATAACAGTGGAAATGGCATCCACATTACACTGCTTTTCTATCGTAAGAGTTTCTTTACATACACAGACAAACCAGTATATACCCAGTCCAGCTCTGCTGCTCCTCTGGTACCAAGCCTGGCAGCAGAAGCTATTGTCCCTGCTCTTGTTGAGCTAGTCCTGGAAAATTTCAGCCTGAAAGTTTTCAGTCTGAAATTCTGAAAAAAAATCATGACCAATTGGAAAAATCCACTTAGTAATCTTAGTTATAGCTGCTCTACTTAAAAAAAAAGATGAAAAGGCAAAAACTAAGGACACTGTAGAAAGAGACCTTTGGGTTTGCTGTGAAGGAGAGTTAATTAGGTGTAGTGCAATGTCCCACCAATGGTTATACTGCCTCTGGGACCAGTGCCAGCACCTCCGCCCGGTAGCGCCCTGCACTACCAGCCTGGCAGCATGATGTGCTCTACAGAAAAGACCTTACGGAATCAGGAGATAGCCTGGAGGAAATGATACCTTGACTGTACTACATAGCAGATGAAATCCTTTGTAGATGCTTTAGGGGTTTTGAGGATGCTTTGGACAGGTGGTCACCAGGGTTAGGCTGAAATATAAGTTCAGGCAATTTGGACAGCAGCAGGGAGAAGTTTGACATCAGCCTTTTTTACAAACATTTGTATCATTCATCACTGTCTCAAATGAAAGTAAGATATTAACGGCAATTATTTCCACTGAAATGTGCTTCAAAGATCTTTTAGAAAGCAAGTGAAAATGTAACTTTTTCACTTATCGGAAGTGCTAGCAAAGAGTAACAGTATTGGCAAAGCACTGGAAAATGGAGTTAACTATCTGGCAGACAGAACAGGGAGCTGCACTTTATTCTGCAGCTTTTGGCGCCGGGCTATTCGTGATGCATTGTCTCATTTATTTTGAGAAGGTATGCGACTGAAGTATTGCATCCCTGCATGTCTTTTTGGAATATCTTCTCTTTCTCTTGGAATCAAAAGCTGACCTCAAGGTGAGAGTGGCTGCTTCTTTGCAGATTGATGCTCTGGTTGAGGTTGTGGAGGCAGTACAAGGCAGAGTCGAAGTTTATTTAGATGGTGGAATACGAAAAGGAAGTGACATATTAAAAGCACTGGCACTGGGAGCAAAGTGTGTCTTTATTGGAAGACCGGCTCTATGGGGTCTGGCTTACAAGGTGAGTAAGGAGCTTTGAGTTTGTGTGTCTACTTCTCATACTCTCCAACCCTCTGTTGTTGTTATTTAAAAGTCATAGAGACAGTTTTCACCAGTGAAGAACCTTACCTTTTTTTTTTGCTGCTTTGCTGAATTTTAAGTGGAAACATCCTAAATTGAATCAAACACAGGCATTTTCTGTGAGTTAAAAATACCACTGTTTTATGATTTTGAAGCTGAGGATAACATTGTTTTGTGGGACCCGATTTCTTAGTGTTGCAGTTTGGTGCTAAAATACTGTAGGTATTTTGGTGCTTTTGAAAATCTGAGGTGGGCTTATTTGCCACAAGGATGAGTCTGACAATTTTTTTTTTGCTGTCAGCTTGCTTGGAAGCTATATATGGTCTTGATACAGCAGTTTCATAGCAGTGTTATTAATTCTTCAGAAATACATATAGAGCTTGATCCCACTGATGTCTGAAACATTTCGAACAAGGCTGAGCACAACCATGTCCTGTAGGTACCTGACCGTGCCACTACTAGCTCAGCTCCAGCATTTCTGCTTCTTAACTACTAGCATATTTCTATGATCTGGAGTCATGAATTAGGCCTCTGATGCAGAAGGTGAACATAATATAATTAAAATTAAAATGCAATTACACCAGTTGTTTGCTTTGCTAAATTTTTGACTTTTAGCCTCCGGATTGGAGTTTTCAAGCTTTCTCTAGAAGAAAAAATAGTTACTTTTATGGTCTAGAAGTATTTCCTATCTTTTAAATGTGACTCCTGTCCAGTGGTGTGATTGCTGTGGATTCCAGCAGCTAGGCTTCAAGCAAGAAATCACTTGAATCTTGGGAGAAACCTGGAAATCACTTGTATCTTGGGAGAAACTCTGTTTCTGTTGACAGTAAACAGAGAAAAAGGACCTCACATGAAAAGGCTGTTGATCTGAGTTGCCTGCATTTTTTTTTTTTTTCACAATGCAAACATGCAAACAGAAAGGAGATGGGATTTTTTTATTTCAACTGTGCTTTCATATTATATTCCATAGAGAATTCCTAGAGAGATATCTCAGTGGTGTTGACCTAGAATACAAGAGAGGAAGGGCACAAACAAGCAATGACATTGTCTGCACCCAAAGCATTCTTCATTGCAAGAAATAAAAACAAAAATTAAGAGAAAAAAAGAAAAAATCGTCCAATATTTTACAGTAAGATCAGAATCATATGTACATTTTATTGGATTTTGAACTTTTTGGTGTCCCTCGCTCGGAGAAAAATGCACAGTGTACTATTTTTAAAGATTCAGTCTTGTATCTGAGTAAACTAAAGCTCTAAAGCTGCTCCATATATAAAACTCTCATTACTTCATAAAATACTGTCAGCTTTGTAAGGCTTGATATTTTACAAGCAGCCCATTGATGGACATTAACTGAAAGCTAAGAAGAAAAAACAGCTAGAAAATGTCAGAAGTGAAAAACAGCTCTGTTTTCTTTCCCTGTTCAGATGTAACACAAAAGGAAAAGCATCTAAATTAATCTGTGACGAACTGAGCACATCCATCATATAATTTTAATCATCCATCTGTATGAGAGACTGGAATTGGCAGGGACTTAAGGGATTGTCCCAGCTCTCACAGTGCAAGCATCCTGCAGCATTGCTCTGTGCCAGTGCTCCTTTTACCCTGACAGCTTTCTTTATTGGAGCAGGGTGAAGAAGGTCTTCAAGAAGTTTTGAGGATTTTGCAGGATGAGTTTCGCTTGTCGATGGCCTTAGCTGGTAAGCATTTTGCAGGTTGTTTGTAGTTGGTGATACAGAGGTTTTGTAAGCCATCTAAAATCAGGGGCCTGATGGATGGGTCACAAAAAGGGAATCCAAGTGAGCTGTGCTGGTTCTAGTTACTATATTTAAGGTGATTCTTTGCTTCCTGTGAAGCCACTTGGCATTTCAGGTGTCATAGCAACGTAGCTTGCAAGGAGGAAGTTGCTTCCACCCCAATGAAAGAGATGCAAAACTACGAAGTAGAGCTGAGCAAAACTTGGAATTTCTGTTCTGGGGACTGCATATATTTTTCAGTATTTAATTTAATGTTTACCAGGGTAAAATGCAACCAATTTTTTTTTTGCTGCATGAAAAGTTCAGAAAGAATGGCTGCAGAATTTTTCTCTGGGTACTAGATAATACACTCTTTTGGTCCAGATTCCAATCTCTGCATCCCACATACGTTAAAGGCATCTATGTCTTCTCCAAGCTTTTACTGTTGCTCCTCATTCTGCGTTTCTCACTTCTGCTCCTACCTGTAGCTGTCATGTTTGATCCCCTCACTGAACAGCAAATTTGCAGAGCCCAGTGCAAACTCCAGTTTCTCACATGAACAGGTATGACATGCAAGTTCAGTGAAAAAGTATTCAGTCATGAGCAGAGAGGGTTTTCTCCCACTTCAAGTCACGTTTTAAAGATTTTCATACGCTAGTGACCATGAACTCAAGTGGATAGCAATGCTGACTGGGAGACTGAACTCCCATTGGGCATTTCTTAGTAGGCTGGGGCTTTGGGGTTTTCAACTAGTAAAGATTCCTACAAGGTTTTATCCCAGGAGGCTCTGACACTTCTTTACATGCAAAAGGGAACAGAACTTGGCAAGAGCAGCAGGTTGGGACCTTTTTTCCAGGGCTGTGGAATTCCACGCGGATTTGACCAAATGAAAAGGCACTACAAAATCTCCACCTCTGGTCACCTGACACATGGCAATCACTGTGTCTTTTCTACCTACCTTTCATTTCTGGCTGGATCTGAAATCCCCCCTGCTCAGCTTGTTATAAGGATCCCTTTTTTTTCTCATCTTCTAACTTTTTGTGCGGGAAGCCCAGTGCCTAACCTCCAGGCTGAAGATGCACGTGAGAAGTAGGGCTCCTGCGAGTGAGCTGTTGGAGTACCAACCTATCCCCACATGGCTCATACAAGACTAGACCATGATTCAGAGAAGGGGCCTTCCAAGTTTCATCCACAGACCTTCCTCTCTCACCAATATATTTAATTTCTCTATTTATTTCAGGCTGTGCCAGCGTCTCAGAGATTGGCCGACATTTAGTTCAGTGTTCAAAGCTATGAACAGCCTCCTGCAACGCCCACTGAAGAGAGGCATCTCATGCTGAGCTCCCAACCAGAATGAAGAGAGAAAAAGGAGGTGCAAATGTTAAATGTGCAATAATTATCTGATAAGGCTTTCAGAAAACTTCTGAGTAGATTAGGAAGGGCTCCATGTCAGCAAAGACTGTTCTCTGCTTTTATTGAGACCAATGAGTTCTTTAACACTTTGGGTAATTGTTACTTGCTTAAATACATTTACTTTAAACTGGCTATTCTGTGGCATTGCCTGTGTTGGGCCTTACTCCCAAGCTCTGTTACATCGGGCAGCCAGACATGGAAAACTATGTCCCTTGCTTCTTCCACTTGGTTGTCCTGCCAAGCTGTGGCTGATATCTTCCATAGCTTGGCCTTTCCTGGAGGTATTTACAGCAGGTACAGAAATGAGATGCATCAGCTAACAGCCATCCCAGCTACCCTCCCTTCCTCCCTCCCTTCCTCCCTCCCTTCCTCCCTTTCCCTCCCCTCCCCTTCCCTCCCCTCCCCTCCCCTCCCCTCCCCTCCCCTCCCCTCCCCTCCCCTCCCCTCCCCTCCCCTTCCCTCCCCTCCCCTCCCCTCCCCTCCCCTCCCCTCCCCTCCCCTCCCCTCCCCCCCTTTCCCTTTCCCTTTCCCTTTCCCTTTCCCTTTCCCTTTCCCTTTCCCTTTCCCTTTCCCTTTCCCTTTCCCTTTCCCTTTCCCTTTCCCTTTCCCTTTCCCTTTCCCTTTCCCTTTCCCTTTTCCCTTCCCTTTCCCCTTCCCTTTCCCTTTCACTTTCCCTTTCACTTTCCCTTTCCCTTCACCTTCCCTCTGGATGTTTCCTTTTCTGTAACACTCCTCAGAGCAAAATCTTCAGCTACACCACCTGGTCTTCCTCTTTCTTCCCCATTCCACCTCTTTGACTCATCTTTCTGTCCCCCACCAGCTCTGCTTCTTCATTATTTTTTCTTCAGAAAAATTTCAGTCCCCATCTAGGCTGTTATTTCGGTATTTCCCTGACTAATACGAGCCTCCTCGTGTCATGGACCTCTGGTGGGAATGCCAGAGGTGCCTCCTTGCTGCCCAGAGAGTGGAGCAAGGGAGCTTGCTGCTGCCCGGACCTGAGGGAGCTGCTGGGGAGCGGAGCTGAGGCAGAGCGGGGGCAGATCGGACACCACAGCCAGTGCAGAAATTGGTTGGTGGTGTATTATTTGGAGCTCATGTCCCTTGGGGTTTGCCTGTGTCAATAGCCTGCAGTACGAGTATTTACTCTGAACTATTCTCCCTAGGAGGAGTTTAACAATACTTTAATTTAATCTTTATATAAAGCTGTCCAAGTAAAGGCGTAAACAGAATTCATCTATTTAAACTGGTTAAAACCCATGTGTGCACATTTGCCTTTGTTATAAATGTGTTGTGTAAACAAGTGGGGAATTGGGCCAGTGTAACTGGAAATAATCGGAATCTCTGTCATTTAATTTATTTAATTACTTGGGCTTAATCAGGTCATTTAAATGAGGCTAGGACTGTACATACATGAAAACAGCTAATGTGCCTCATCTTCAAAAACACAATGTGATCTTAAAAATATCTGGGAAGACACCTGACCTTGTTTTCTTATAAATATTTTTCAAGGCTAGACCCACCGGTGCAGAGCACTTTACAGCACCACAAGATAGCTGACAGCTGCCGGGCAGCAGTGGGATGCCACATGTCGCTTTGTGCCAAAGAAGTACCAACTTGCTGGGCATCTCCTCTGCTCAGTGCGCCTCCCAGTCTTGCCATGCACACAAGGCTCCCCTTTGTTGACAGAAGGCAACCTCGGGCGCTGGTGCCCTGCAAGCTGTACCGCCCTGGGCACCAGGCGCCAGCAAGCGGGACCTCTCTCTGCTCCCCTTGGAGCTCTGGCACGGTTCAGCAAAACCACTGAGAACAAGGGGCCGCAGGAAGGGAAGAGTGATGCATGGCAGGCGAGGGATTGAGGTTGTCCTGTGTGTGAGTGAGGGTGAAGGTGGGGGTGCAAGGTCATTCCTTCACCCAGTAATTCCTTGGAGGAAAATGCCACAGGAGTCGCTGGTGCACGGGGCTGCACGGTTACCTAACCCTGTTTTGGAGTGTTGTGTGGCCAAGTTTCAGTAAGGAAGTGTCAGCTCTCCTGCCATGAAACTGCCTATGAGCTTCTTCAGTCAAGGCTCTCTCTTGGCAGAGAAGAGATGCTGCTTTTTCTGCAGAGGAGAAGGCACGTGTGCTCCCCCAATTCCTGCTGAGCACCCTGCCCACTGGCTCCTGGTGTACAAGGGAAAGGGGAGGCAGCAGCACTGCCCCCTTTTGCACATAACTTAGAACAACCAAATGAGGCTCATTAGGTCCTAAAATTGCTAGAAGAGTGGCTTCTGGCTTATGCAAATGGCAGTGGCTGAAGGGGCCTGCTGGCAGTCCTGAGACATCTGGCTAAGCTCTGAAAAGCAGTAGGATTTCCAGCATGCTTCATCTGATGCATCTTGGTGACTTCCCTCTGAGCATTTGGATTTTTTTTTTTTTTTTTTAGATCTGTTTCTGGATGATCTAGAAGACCTAGACATGGGTATGTAAAGTGTGAGAGTGAGCAGCTGCTGTCTTCTGGAGTCAATGCTGTGAAATGGGAAAGTAGATGATGACAGGCTGGGAGAACTGCATTTAAGCTCTGTTTCCATGAAAATGAGCTCCTCTGTCTCCCTGGTAGATGACCATCAAGGCCTTTGCTCCTTGTTCTACACTCCCATTCACTGAAAGAAGTCCCTTTTGTTTGGAGAAATCCAGGTACTCAAAAATCATCAATTTCTCACCCGAATTTCACTTAGATACCTTTTACTTGCAGTCAGACTCTGTCAAGGCTCCATGCATGGCATGGCTGGTCTGCTCATGCCACTCCTCACAGCAGCCCGTGCTCGTTGGAGCAGAAGTAGTGCTCAAGGCTGCTCTGCTGAGGCAGAAAACCCTCTCATTTCAGGCTCCAGAGTGTCAGCTTTCATTAAAAGCCAACAAAGCAAGGTGGTGGAAAGCATGTCATTGTTACAATCATGAAGTATATCTTTCAAGGAGAGAAGCCATCTCAAGAAACTCAGAAATGTCTGCTGGAGCTGGAACAGTTGTAACAGAAATTGTCTGCTCTGCTGAGCTGACTTGTGGTGGCTTCATTTACACCATCGTTGAGTACCATGAGATCAAAATCTGTTTTGAAAGAAAGGCAATGCCACGTTATGAAAATAAGCACAATGATTTAGTCTGTGATCACCTTCTCTATTTTTCCCATGGCACTGAATTGGGAGATGGAGGACAGGAGGGCAGGTGGAACTGAAGGACATGTGAACATTAATAAAGGTAGCCAGACAAATAGCAGCCTTTGATCAAGCTGTTCTATAGGTATCTATAAGATAGCATAAATATCTTAAACCAGAAATGTTTGAAGAGGCCACTGATTTGCAGCTCTTGTGATCTGGATGTCTAATGGAGCACATCTGGAGCCGGATTTGAAGAGGCATGGGAGACTTGCAAGTGAAATGAAGGTCAGTAGGGGTCCAGGCCTGCAGGCATTTGGAATGAGCAGCGTTACAGAGCTGGAATATCTTGTTTTTCAGTCCTGTCTCTTGCTGTTGGCCCTTTACAGCCATACATTTTTTCTATGTGATTTTTCAAACTATACTATGATATAGAATATCCTCCTAGCCCCTTTTTCCCTTTCGGATAAGCATGCGTTCCAAAACTGAGGCAATGCCTGTACACTTGGATAGTTCTGCATGCCCCCGGGAGTAAGGGGAAGGGAAGATTCTGCCTGTCAGGTTTGTGTGAGTATCACGCCCCAAGGATCAGTACCAAAGGGGAACCACTGCAGAACAGGGCACGTGCATCCTGGGGGCAAATGATTAAGCCACTCTTCAGCTGAGGTTTCAAGGGAAAAGTCCCACATCTGGGGCAAAGAGCCAGCTCACAGCGGTGCAGATCCCCTGTCACAGCCTGCTTTGCAACAGGCAGGTGCCCTGGCGCCCACTTCCCTGGCATGCCCAGGAGGAGCCACACTATCAAGAAGTGACCTTCTGCCCTTAAGGAGGCAGAAGAGAGAAGCTAGCCCCATGAGCTCACACTGTTTAGACTTGAATTTCTCGCAGAGATAACAGTGTCTGCAGAGAGGCCTTCGCATGGAGGCCTTCCTCTCTGTTCCAGTAATAATAAACCTTGCCAGCAGACTGACAGCCCTGCAGATAAGACTCAGGAATTATACCACATTGCACACTTTGATGGACATCAAGGATGTACAAGAAGAGACTGAGACAACTGGGTGGGCTCAGCCCTGAGAAGGCTGAAGGTAGAGGGAGGGGGGATCACATCACTCTTTTACTCCTCAGTTGGAGGGAACAGAGAAGATGCATCCCAGCTTCTTGGACTTGTGCAGCTAAAGGGTGAAAAGCAGTGGGCACAAGTTGCAATGAAAAAAATTCCACTTAGAAATGAGTGGAAAATATTCACCATCAGGGTGATCAGACACTTAAGAAGAGGGTTTGTAAAACCTCCATCCTTAGAGATACTCAGAGCTCGACTGGGCAAGGGCCTGAGCAACCTTGTCTGATCTGACACTGCTTTGAGAAGAGGTTGAGTCAGAGACCTACAGAGGCTTCTTTCAATCTAAGTTGTTGGGGGACATGACAGAATCATAAAATAAGAGCCACACATCAGATCTGTACCCTGGAATGCGGTTGTGTTGCCATGATCAACTATCACAGAGTGCAGAGGCAGCACCTGTATCTCTGTGTAGAGGCTGCAGAAAGCATTTTCTGAGAGAAAAAGAAAGATATTTGGCGAGTGAGCTTAAAAGATCTCACAGGGTTCAGCCAGGCTATTGGGAGTCTACTGAACAAGCCCACCCTACAACTTTTCTAAGACTTTGGAAGTTTCCTAGGATCTTGATTAAACCTGTGTCAATGCATACCGAAGTCTCATGCCCATATGTTTACACTGTGTCCTGCTTTTTGTATTTGATTGTTGTGAACATCTCTGATGCAAATTCAAGCAAGGTCAAATCTTCCAAAAAAAAATTATGCTCAAAGAGATTATAAATATCTTGGTTAAGGACGAATCAAACCCTGCTGCCTTCCAGTATCCCTGGAGGATGTAGCAGGGACAAGGAATCAGTCTATTTACAAGGGTAGTTTATCTACAAAATGGATCCAAATATAAACATTTTCCTTTGGCATATGGTGCAAATTTCTATGGCCTTTAAATATATAATTCACTCATCAATTTCAGCTGAGGAAACACAGTTCCATCCAAAGCTAAAGGGAAAACAAGACTAAATGTTTGTTACTTGTTAATTGCCCAACTCATGTATTGTCTATTATAGCAAAGACTACTACAGGTAAATCTTTCTGATCCTGAAGATCATGTAAGAAAAGTTTACAATCACTTTCTCCCTTCCACCAGAAGAACTTTGGTATTACTGAAATAGGAGATATTTTCTTTGTCAGGTTTGAATACACAGAAATATTGAGGCCTCTTAAGGTGGTTATCTTCATACTCCAGTTAAACTGTCTTAAAACCGTTCCCCACTATGAGAAGTTGTGTTTATTTCGAGTTTGATCCAGCACAGCTGTCCAAAAGTTAATTATTTAAGTCTTGTTGCCTTTTGTCAATGTGTAACCAGAAGAGAGAGAAAATTATTTCCGGGAGGGAACAGTGTCTCCCACCCTGAAGGGCAGAAGCTTGGCTTGAACCTACATCTCAACGTACACTCTGTTTCCAAGAGCTGCCAGCATCTAGGCGTTTTGAGCTTACAGGCGTATGATGGTAATAAACGTATTATTTTTTTTACTTGAGAAGCATATGGACTTTTGTGGCTTTTTGGTCACAACTATGTTTAGAGAACAGAAGGTCCAGTTGAATGATGAGCATGCCTTTGCTTTTCTCTGCTTCAGTTCTCATTAGTCTGAAACGCCTTTTCTAAATCAGACTTATTTTCTGGACAAAAGGATCTGTTCTTTTCTTCCTACTCCTAGATAGCTTCTTTTCCCTGATTGCACAGTTAAACAGCATCTCCTTTTTTAAAAGTAGATTTTATCCTACCTGAAATTTCCGTGCTCTGCAATGTTATTACATTCCAGTACCATGATACAGTTTGTTCTCAGTGCTGCTGGAAATCTTTCCTTCACTATGTCTCTCTTACTGTCTTCTTATCTCCACTCCCCAATCTCTTTTTCTCCTTGTGACAAGGCTAAGAAAATGCATTCTCCTAACACCAGCCAGCCATTGCCCCAAAGTATCTTTGCTACAGTAAGCACCAATAAAGCTGGAAGATCAACAATTTTCCTTCACCGGCAGATTAGGGACATGGCTGTGATGGGACATAGCGGATTGCATATATACCGAGCTATCCACTCGGCCCATGTATAGCAATTCTCCAACACAAGCCAAAATTTACGAGCTTTGATTTTCTAAAATGATACTTTTAGACTTGCAGCCCATTCTACAGCAAAATATCAGACTGAAGGCCTCGTTTTACGTCAAGGAGAAGAAAACAACATAATTAAAAAATGACTACACCTTGACACAGAATGCAGAGCTGTTAACATTTTTAGATGTCGCTGAATTATATTTTACACGGCAAATCCCAGACCCGTGCAATAGCTCTGAATTTCTTCAAGTTGTTTCTGGTCATCAGGGGTCTGGTAGGGTCTAGCCTCATTGCTCACTGACACCGTTATGGGATGTACAGCCCATTCCAGCATTTGCCTCCGTGCCCTTCCAAGAATGCCAGAGCCCGTCTTGTTTGCAGCACAGAGGAGCTGTCATGCCACCCAGCAACCTTACACAGCAACTTCAAGAAGAAACAGAAGGTGAAAATGTTGCCTCTCGGTGAGGCCGCAGGAAGCAGCAGCAGGTCAGCGCTTGAACTGAGCAAACTGCTGCTGTCTGATCTCTGACACCCACAAGCAGGAGTTCAACTGAAGGCTGCTATGCAGCGATGTATAAAACTGCCTCAAAGTAAGCCAAGCATTTGGCTCAGTAGTACCTAAGTGGACAAAAGCATAGCAGTGATAAATCTCCCTACAGTCCCCTGTGCATCACACCTATTCTCATATAAAGCACTACCCCTGCTAAATAGGCAGGCTTGGTGTAGGAATGTTTTCTAACCTAAGAGGCTACGTTGTATTGTCTGTTTTTATAATGCCTCTTTAAGGCATTTAATTTCTTTACTAACAGTAAAAAGGAAGCATGGTTTCAGAGAACGCTGGTTGCAGCAGCAGGCTCTGGTCAGTTATTTTCCCTTGCAAAATGCACTCACAGCACAAAATTAATTTGCAGCAGCTTCTGATAAGAACATACAATGTCAAGGTCCTGCCTGAGAGAAGCCAAGGAAAGAAGCACTGATAACAATTTTTTTTAAGCTTTGTTGGGGTAAGGGAAGGATTTTCAAGGACGCTGTGATTGAAACAGTTGCCAAAACTTTGTCATCTGTGTCAGCTAGAAACTTTTCTCCTCCAACAGAAATGGCTTTGCTTTCCTCCTGTCACTTGCAGTCCCAGTTTTCCTCTAAAAAAGTAACAATGTGGGGGTGCTCCTTCTATAGCTTTTCTCCAGGGCTCTTTTTAATGGATGAACAATATTAATGACAGAATAAAAAAGGGAGTTTAGGAGTTAGCCGCACCAATGCAAGTAATACATTTTTTAGAGATCCACTCCAGCTGTGCCTGAAATCAGCAATCCCCTTTCCAGTGATTTCGGCCTAGTTAGGTGTGTTGCTGGGCTTCTGTGTAAGTTCCTTCTCGCTTACGGCAGTTACTTATTTATCATTTTGCTTCAGTAGGGATGTCTGCCTACCCCTGTGCGAGAGAGAGAGAAAATACACCGTGTCCTGACAGTACACAAAGACCCAGGAAGGCAGTTCAGGTATTAGGAGTTTCAGGCTAACGCCTAAGCCCTGCCCCAGTCTCACACTAGAAAAGAGTTTTGCTAGAACTGGAGTGAAACCCTGGGGAGAAACACCTGGACATTTTCCCTGTGCTTTGGAGATGTAAAAAGTAATGACACACTTCACTGCAAGGGCTCAAACAGCCAGCCACAGCCTTACTTTAACTAGGTACTCTCACACCAGGCATTTCAGAGATGAATCTTTTTCTCCTGCAGCTTTAGTTTAATTTTAATGGTACCTTAGACCATTTCATCACTTCGAATGCCTCGAGTATACTGAACAGAAAAAAAATCTCAGAGGTTAGTTTCTGATCTTGCACAAAGAGAGTGAGAAACCCATGTTATAATGGGGGAGCCCAGTAACCAAAATAACTACAGCAGTAGAGTCCACTGCTCAAACCATTATAAACAGCTACTTCTGCTATTGACAATTTTAATGCTCTCTACCTTCATAATAGTGTATTACAGAAGCAAATGCAGTTACAGAGAATTATCAGCATGAGGGTTTACCCTCCAGGGATTCAGGCACAGAGGAGCACATCTAGGCTTAGACCTTGCCACATCCAGAGCCTTTTGCTTTGAGAGGGGAGGGGTGGAACCACCACATTTGTTTGCAGCAAAGGAGACATGCGAGAGGGAGGGGAAGCAAAAAAGGCGGCGCTCTGCAGTATATAAATACAGGCAAATCTCCCCCAGAGTCTTCTGAGTGCTAGAGAGGTGGAACCAAGATTTGAGGCAGACTTTTATGGGGTTTGTTTGGCATTGAAGTTGATTTTGAGCATTTTCAGATTTGTTAATTTCTTTAGTTTGTAATAGTTTGTAGTTTTTTTCTTTGCATGGAAAAATTCATAGGCTACTTCTGAATAGGAATAGCTAGCAGAAGTAAGACATGCTTTAAAAATTGCTGTCTAATGTAGGAGTTAGAGTTTGTTTTCCAGTAGTCTCTCCTTCTAGTAACACTCTTTGATTTTTAAAGGCTCCAGAGGTTGATGTCATGTGTTCATTTCCTCAGGCAGGACGTGAACAGGCTGGTCTAATTTCAAGAGACAGCCAGTTCACCACCGAGGAGCAGCCCAGAGCAATGTCCCTGGCTGGGGTAAGCTGTCTGGTGACAGGAGCAGGAGGATTTCTTGGCCAGAGGATTGTCCACTTGCTGTTGGAAGAAGAGGAGGCACTGGCTGAGATCCGGCTGCTGGACAAAGCCTTTAGCAGTGAAGCACTCAGGAAATTTGGAAGTAAGTACCATTTTGTGAGGACTATACGTTGTGGGTATATGTGCTGATGTCTCATGTGGATAGCTGGGACGTCTTTGCCTCTCATCCAAACCAGCTTTACAGATAGAGGTTTTATTTCAAGGAAGTATTGCTTTATCATTTCCTCTCCCTCCAGCACAGAAATCAGACTTAAAATATAAAAGCAAGAGTTTTCTTTGCCTGACCCCAAGGCTTTTCTAGATTGGAAGAGAGACCTATATACTGTTCATCCAGTAAACAGGCTGCCTTCAACCTGACTTCTATTACATCAAAACACACAGAGCAAAACCAGTGCAAAAATCTCGCACTTCTTCCTGCGAGGGGGATGGTGGGGAAAGGAAAACACAAGTATTGTTATACGGGGGGTGGGGGTCAGTGTAACCCAGAGCATACTGTCCTGGGCTCTGATGTGCTACACTAGAAAGCAGCGGCAAAGTTGTGGATGCAAACGCGAATGGTTTTCTTCAGCCTGTGATTAGTTTGGTTAATCGTGGTCTTCTGGCTGGGAGTTGTGATGAGGTTTCTTAAAAATTTGTTGTTATTATTAATACTATCACAGTTGTCTGGAGACTAGAACCATTTTGTGCCATGCACAGAAGGGACAGGACCCATTTGCAGAGGGCAAGTCAGGACTCTGGCTTCTTGAATGGACTGGAGACAGCACAAATGACTGATATGCCCAGTGTCAGAAATGGTCTGTGGTGGGGAAAGCAGCTCAGAGTATCATATTTTAAATGTCCCATTTCCTGAGGTCATGAGCACATCTATAAAAAGGTACATATGAACCTAAATTCAATCAAGTTCTGAAGTCCCTACATCACATTTACTTGACGATGCTTTCCTTTTTCACTTTTTAACCTCAAGACTATTATTCCTCTATACAGGCAACTATACAGGAACCCTTATGGAATATCTCCATACAATTTTCTAAAGAGCCACAATCTTTCTATAAAGCATTTAAGTCTCATTAAATAATAGTAACAGTGCATCACAAACCCGGTGCAAACTGCACAGGCCTTTGGGAGGGTTTTATGCAACTCACAATTCCTCCTCATTAAATCTCATTCAGCGTTTCACCGAGGATTTGCTAGATGCCCTTGAGCTTTGCAGGGGCCCTTCCTGCTCTGATTTCCAGGCAGTTCCCACAGTGACAAAACCTGCGGCTGCAGTAGAGGCTGAAGCAGATGCAGCAGCAGGAGCATGTGTGGTTTAGCACTGACGAAGCAGGGCAGCAACAGAAGCATCTGCACTGTTCCAGGCCAGGAGAGCTTTGTGGGGATAATGGAGCTTCCCGAGGAGTGGGAACAACTGTGTGAGCACAGCCTTGGCTGGGCTGCAGCAAAGCTTTTGTTGTTCTTTGGTTTTTAGTTTTTTGTTTGTTTGTTTGTTTGTTTGTTTGTTTGTTTGTTTGTTTGTTGTTGTTGTTGTTGTTTGTTTGTTTGTTTGTTTGTTTGTTTGTTTGTTTGTTTTTTAATTATTGTTAATAGGAAAGCTCTATACCCTCTTTCCTTATCCTCCCTCCTTCCTCCACTGCCCACACACTCCCTCTCCTATTCTTGCAACTTTCCTGCTGCCTATCTGATGAGCACGGGAGGAAGTTATCAGAGTTTTTTTCCACCACAGACAGGTAGTAGGAACAACAGGCTGGCATTTCAGATGTGTTTGAATTGCCTTGAGGCCCTGCACGTTGACTGGCAGTCCCCTTGTCTGTATCAGCCTCTATAGCTACACCTCTTCAAGTGCCTATGCTCTGGACTACCTGAATTATTTTCCTGACATTGCATTTCAATCCCTTCTCTATCACAGTGACTCCTATTGCAAATGCAGGGCTGCTGCAAAAACTGTGGGGCTGGAATCTTCTGACCTGCATTATTTTTACTGCAGGGACTTTTACTTGCTAGCATATGTCGTTTGGATTGCTTGAATAGTCAGGAGCAGAGCTGAATGGTTTTCTTTCTCACCAAGCTCTTGGAGCACCTTTTACTTGCCATGTCTTTGCAGAGTAAGACACAGGAGTATGTGCAAGTTACCGCTCTTTGTGCCAGAAGACACTCAGAGACACTCTCGTTTTGTCCAAACAACTTTTGGGCTGAGACCTTGACCATCTCACACTCGGTCTGCATAAAACAGTGGCATTTGCAGCCTTGCACAGCCTGAGGGAGTCCAGGGTGATCCAGTCAATGCCAAGTGCTGTGAGCTAGAGGCTGCCCAGTTACACTGTGTGGTTGAGAATGAATGTCCAGTTGAACATGGTGATTTGGTGCCTTGGGTTTCCTACCTCCCCCTCTCCACTTCAAATTTATATTTCTGTCTTTCCTATGCCTCCACTTAGGCAATTCAATTTTTGTTCACTGTTGCACTGGCACTTCTGGAAAAGCTGGGAACTCCTAGGCTGTTCTCAAGAGGATTTCTCAGTGTTTCAAAGCACTGACTCCCACTCCTCTCATCCCTCTGTATGTCTCCTCTCTCTCCCCCTGAACCCTCATTTCATGTCATTTTACAGAGACATTTATGGATTGTGTGATGTTTGAGCATTGAGTGTTTTTGCACTGCTAACCCAGTACTGCTCCGAAGTAGAAAGAAAGTAGAGGGAGAAGGAATTTTTTTTTTTTTTTCTTTTTTCCCTCCAGGAGTTTTGGCAGGGAAAATTCCTGCTCTGGGAATCTTCCTCCTGGGTTTTTGCTCAGTGTTGCAGGCATCCATTTGCCTTTATCACTGCATTCAAAACAGAAAGGCAGAGTAGCAACCAAACATCCCAGTAGCTGAAATGGGAACAGAATAAACATTTCAGCTTCCCTGGGCCAAAGAAGCCAAAAAATTGCTTTACCCTTTACAAATGAAAACAAGATTCAATTTTAAATTTTTTCCTATGAATACACAAAGTAGACCATTTTAATGAACCATGCAGTTAACCAGGAAAGTGGAGATCTCTCACGAGGAGTGCCTTTCCCCACCACCCACCCCACAGCTGTAAGGACCTCTATAAAAGAGCACGAAGATATTCAAGCTAAGTCCCACCGATATTGCTGTGCGCTTGAACTTTAAACAACACATAGAAAAGAGAAAGACAGTTTAGGGCAAATAGTCTGACTGGATTGCTGAGTCAAGACACTTCTCACAACAGGACACTGAATTTTATTGAGTAATCATTGCATTTCTAAGCAAAAACTACCACTTAGCAAGAAGGGAGCATTGCAGAGGACACAGAAATCATTGATGAAGTAGAAGCTTTCCCAGTGGGAAGGTACTTTCTCATAATCACTGTATGCAAAAACGGAGAACTGAGTTGAATTTATTCTTTTCCTCTCCCTTCCACTGACACACATGCTTTTATGATGCCTGGGCAATGTTTTGTGCAGATGGAAATCAAGTTTCTCAGTTTCAAGTCCATCTCACACTGAAACCACTGTCTGTCAGACATTTCTTTTCTCTCTCTGCTTCCAAGCTCAGCTGTAGTTTTCCTTTTCCTCCAGAACAAAACAAGATCAATCTCTGATTCCTGACATCTATCTGATGCTGGTAAAGTGAACAAGGCCCATATTGTCCTTAGCACAGCAACTTCTGCTGACTAAAGTGGAACGGAGGTGCAGCTTTCCTGCCTCCTATCACAGACATAACAAATTGCAAGCCCAAACAAGGCACAAAGCACTAGACAGCAGCTTTCTGGGACTGATACCAACTATCCCTGTGATAAGCTTTAAAAGGGACAGGTTTCTTTTGTATTTTTCCTGAAAGCTTTGATTTGCATGTGTAAAAACATCCATTTTCCTAACTCTGGCCTAGGGATAGTGATCACTCCGACGGGGCCACATGTCAGAATTTACATTGTGAGAATAGTGTATTTCAATCCTTTGTATTATTGCAGCCCTGCAAAACCTTACTCATGGAGAAAATCAACCTAAGGGCTGTACAAAGACTGTTTATTGGAGCAAGTCAAACTGCCAGGTGCTTAACAAAAAGCCTAGCCCCATAGTCTAATACTTCTGCATCCGTACAAGTAGAGGTCAGTGTAAACCTTCTGGAAATGGAGCCCTAGGAAATGAATGCACCCTGTAAAATAAAAGAGCATAAGAGAGAGTATGGCAGTGACTGTGCTAGGACGGCAGTAACTCTAGATTTAGTAACAGTTTTGTAAATGTTTCACAAATTTCACATCTCAGACCAACTGACTGTGATAAAAAAAAAAAGACTTTTGAGCCTGTTGCATCAGAAGAATTATTAAATGAATACAGGATTACATTCTAGCATGCTACAGAGATAATGCGATAGAATAATTTTAAAAGACACTCCCACTCAGTTCCAGACCCCCAGCATCTATCTCAGGCTTTCTCTGTTAAAGACATGGGATGAAATACTGCCTTTTTTGGGGCTGGTGACAAAGCACTAGGATACACGAGATTTCAGTCATGGCTGAGGCTAAAAGCTGTATAAATTAAGCAGGTTGTTGTCTTCTCCAAAATGGGAATTTGACGTGCTGGGAGGAAGCAGAGGCTCTGCCCATGCTGCAGACCCCTTCCCAGTAGCTGTGCCTGGGGGGGCCCGCTAGCACAGCCACCGCACAGGCTCATGAGAGGGCTTGCTGTCATGATACCACCTCCTTAAAAGCTGTGGGGCGTGCTGAGAAAGTCCTCTCCTGTCCCCTAGCACAACTGCAGCCAGGCCAGCAGACTTCACAAGAGAGCAGCATCGCCTCGGACTATAAACTCCTCCAGGAGATCATGCTGTGCTGGCTCTATTTTGTTAGTGCAGCTCTGGGCTGTATAAAGGATGCTTCTGCTCAGCAAAACTTAGAGGAAGGATGGCTCTGAGACCTAGAGCTCCACCAGTCACACACATTAGCTGCTGTGAAGGCAGAGGGCTTAAAAAGCCAGAGTTAAAGCAAGTCAGGGCTTAGGTAGCTCAGGAAAGCTGCTCTGAGAGTTCAGATTTGGACCAGAAAGATGTGCGTGCTAAAAATGACCTTACAGCATACGTGCTGAAATGGAGCCACAGCTGGAGTTAGAAGAGGCACAGTAAGTCCTGGCTGAGGTATATAAAAAAGATGTGTCTGGGCTGTAAGTAATTTGTTAGAAGAGATGCAATATGGGCAAGGTCAAGGGGCAGAAAATAGGTGTGAACACAGCTCTGTGCACACATGCCGTGGGTGGAAGGAGTTTATTCACCACCTTGAAGACAGGAGCGTGCAGTGCCTGGCTGGTTAGTGTACTTCAGTTAACACTTATATAAATAGCCAGTCACCAGAACATGCATAGTTAAAGCTACTCCCCCTTTGAACTTTAAAATAGTCACAGCTGAAGCAAACTTCACACCCCTGCTAGCAGTGGGAATGATTTCTCTTTAACAAAAAAAAAAAAAAAAAAAAAAAGAAAAGAAGAGAAAGGAAGAAAACTATGTTGAATATTGGCTCCAAAAATACGGTAGGTAATGCAACATAGACTTGTATAGAACTGTAATTAGCACTTGACAATATAGCCATTGGAAAATGCTTTCTGTTTTGCCAGCCTTAAAATATCGCTCCTGTGCCTGGGCAGTCAGCACCTTCCAGGAGCAGTGTCAGCATCCACACAGCTTTTCATCCCTATTCATTTCAGTGCCCTTCTTACGATGCCTGTAAGGTACTTTGCTTTGTTTTCTGCTGCCCTTGCAGAGTTCCAGGGTAAGACTGAGGTGAAAATCCTGGAAGGGGACATCCGAGATGTGTCCTTCCTGCACCGTGCCTGTCAGGGGGTCTCCCTCGTCCTCCACACAGCTTCCATCATTGACACCCTGGGCCTGGTGGAGAAGCAGCTGCTCTGGGAAGTCAATGTAACAGGTGAGCTGGTGAGGCACCTTTCTCAAGCCCACGTCTGCTATGTCCTGATCACCATCTGCTCAGGAAAGGGAGCACCTGACCTGTTTTTTTTTGAGCCAGATTACCTGGGCTGTTCTGCACCTTGCACAGCCACACACGTGAGTGCAAAGCATACCTACGTGCAGCCCTGTGCAGCTCTGGCCCTCCCACACCCAGTGTGCACTGGTCTTCCACTGCAGGGCACTGCAGGATTATTCGCTCTTGTCCGAACTCACACACGCCCATCCGGAGATCTGCACAGGCTCTGTCTTCGGTGGGGACAGCCATAATCCCATGCTCAGTGGAATTTTCTGGAAGCAATTCACCTCTGAAATCCCAGTGTGCTCCTGAGAAATTGGTTCTTGCTCTCCCTCCCCATAGAGCATCCCTGCCTGTGTACATTTTTAAATTTTTACAAGCACTGCAGGCTTTTGCAAACCTGCATTGCTAATGTCCCAGACCCTATGGTGCTCTGCTTCCTATTCTTTTTCTTCCTCCTCTGCTCCTTTTCCTCCCATTTTCCATTATGTCTGTGTGTGCATGAATGCACTTCAGAGGAGCAGGTGCTCTCCCACCTTGAGTTTATAATTAAAATATCTCCAAACAAACTCAAGGCTGTGGGAGGGAGGGGTTTCGGTGACTCCTCACTCAGTGATGTGATCTCCCTTTGTACTAAGGAGTCCTTGTTCTTCATGAAAAGACCAGATGAAGGGGGAAGTTTTCGGTTTAGGAATGGCCTGTGTGGCGCTAGCTGTCAGTAAATTTAAGTATGTTTCCCAAAAGAGCAACTTCACCCCCCTCCCTGTGATCCCCAAATCCTCTATGCCTTTCGGAGAACTGGTACTGCCTTATCTGCATGCACACTGACCTCCCTGGCTTTGTCGCTTCAGCTCCTTGGGGAAGATTTGGGGAAGATGTTCTTATTTATGTGAATAGTTTTCCTGGTTCTTCGCTCCTCTCAGCCACAGGTACAGGGCTCCACAATAAAAAAAGGAACACACTTCTACAGGCACCACTTTTACAAATGTTGGCTACTCACCAGCTCTCTGAGCAAGCGAGTGTTCTTTGGAGTCATGTTGTCTCTTGCACCTTAAAAACAGCGGGATGGCATTTCGGTTGTTTTAGCCTGGCTCATTGCCTGTACATGCAGCTTCCAGACCCTTTCATTTCTGCTCAAAGGCACAGATTGTCAGTGACCACAAATTAGAGCCTAGCAGGCAGCTTCTTAGGTCCCTGCCAAGAGGAAAGAGCAGAAAGGCAAGCTCCTGTAAATCTCTACATTGGGAAGTATGAAAAATAAATATACAGGGGTGGTCATTCAGAAAGAGGATTTGTAAAGCTCTCTTTATGACCACACTACTGCTACAATCTTGTTTTTCACAGCAGGATGTGTTGCTTAAATCCATGGGGAAAAAAAAACAAACAAACAAGAAACCAAAAAACCAAACAAATGTTAAAATGTCCCAAAAGCAGAAAGCTCTCTAGCTCTGAGCTGGAGTCAGAGCTAGAGAGTTTAAGTCTGTCCCATTGTTCCTTTTGGCAGGTTTAGACTTAGGCACAAAGTGTCTAGGTTTTCGTAAGTCTTTCAGATCCTCCCCAACAGTTGGCCTGTGGGTGAAAAAAGCCCACAGGGCCAGTGAGGGCTAGCTGACAACATTTGGTAGAAGGAAAGCACACACAAGTCCTCCTCCTAACGTCAGTCACTAAGTACTGCTGTCCTCTTCCCTATTTCCCTCCATTTCCATTCTGATGATCTTCTGGCTTTCTGACCAGCCAAGACACTGCTACGTGCTTCATAGACTTGCAGGATTAAAGTTTTGTTTTCTCCTAGAAAACAGAACTTTTATAATACAAATGTGTCGAGGAATCCGATGTAGATGTTCACAAATTAGAACAGAAGGAAACCAGTAAAACTTGCCATGATGCAGGGCTTTCCTCCGTCTCACATGCCATACAATGCCTCAGGGCAAAAATATCTTTTTAGGAAGTGAAGCAAATTTTTAGGAGGAAGAGAATTATGAAAATAATTAAATATAATCCAAATAAAAGTGCCCTCTGTGTATCAGATCCTCAGCTAGAAGGGCTTTGTGTGCAAGCGAAACTTGGAGACCCGCTCCATGGAAGATTTACTTTAGCACATGCTATGTGAAAGATGCTCAAATTCCCATTACTGTAAGAACCTTTTCATTTTTTACATACAACTCTGATTTGCAAATAAAACACATTTTATTTGGGTGAAATTGATCTTGAACAGATACCAACTGCCAAGATAATTTTATGTTTGCTTTTTTAAAAACTTATCTCATTTGATTTTATCTAGTCCTTCTGCACTTTATTTCTTTTCCTCACTTTCTATTGATGGCAGGAATTAAGCTATTAATTTTCAAAATAATGCTTTTTATTAATTAATTAATTTTCCAAATGACCCTGGCTTGTGTATCATGTAAACATAGTGACTTGCATGGACTCATTTTTCACATGAATTTATTCCTGGCTGTGTAAACTTTTTTTCCTTTGCACTTCTTTAGTGTTTCTTAAAGGCTCATCAGGATTTATTTTCCATTTGTTTCAACTTTTCTTTTTCTTGTTCAGGCTTAAAAAAAGGAATTTTTGTGCCCTAGCAATAGTCAGTTCAATAATTCTTCACATTTTGCACTCATTAATGGGTCGATATTTTGCTGCCAATATTTCTTGATCCTCTGAACCTCTTCTATTCATTATATTCTCTTTGGCAACACTAACCTGCTCTGCACTGTGCTGCCTTTAGTTGTTGTATCACACTGAGCAGACTTGTTAGATCATTTATGCGCCTCACTGCTAGTGGTTGATTTTTATTCCCTAGAGTTTAGGCCACCCTCTTCTGATATAATATCCACCATTTTCATTTAACATTACTTTGCCAAAGACGTTTTCAAATGTCTTTGAGCTGTATCTTCTGTTCCAAAGTCACTGGCCCTTTCACACACAATGTCTCTCATCACACCATGTACAACAAATCAAAACAAAGTCAATTTTTACCTTAAAGCTCAGAAGAAAAAGAGTCTAGTTACAATTAAAACAACACAACTTACTAAAGTAGCTATTTCCCCCTTGAATATGCTTTCCTAGCTTAACCCTCCTGGCTATCTGAAAGACCTTGAACTTGCCAGTTTAACTCTGTTCCCCTCGATGAAAGTACTGTGATAGGACTTTAAAAATAAGAAATCCTGTATTACTGCAAGTAAAATCCAAAATAAGCCAAATAAGGAGACGTACATACACAAGCATCACTTTGCTCACTGCACTTTCCTCTATAATCTTTGACTACATGTTACCGTGCATTGTTCTGACATAAGATCTTTCTTTTCAAGCCCTCCTCTGAAGCCAGTTGAACAGTGGATAGACTTCTACTAGGTGAAGCTGATTTTTGGAACAAACCTTCAGGGCCCACGTTAATTCTGTCCCTGCTTAGCAAACCACCCAGGAACATTCTCAAGCCTGGAAAATAGAGGCTTCAGCATACAGGACGGATGGTACCTAATGAGAGGGGAAGCTTCTGGAGGCTCTCTGCATTAAGCCAAGTCAATCCAAGCAACAGGCACAAGCCCCTCAATCTGTGGTCAGTATCCATGCTAACCTAAGCAAGAGCAAAATTTGACCACTGGCATAAAAACCCCCACAACATGCAATTAAAACCAAGTGTTCATCCTTGTTTAACTCCAGCAGGCACACCGATACCACTTGAATACAGATTCAGAGCAGGTTCATTGAACATCTTCCCAGTTCAGGACAGGATTCTTCCAGCTGCAGAGAGGGGAGATCTGGACAAGCTCAGCCCAGAGATGCTGTTTCTGATCTAAAAAGCCCACTTTTTCCTGCTTGGGGTGCTCTAGATTGACTTGCATGTTTCTCTTTTGAAGGTACTCAGCTCCTGCTGGAGGTATGTGTCCGCTGTAACGTCCAGCACTTCATATATACCAGCACCATAGAAGTGACAGGCCCAAACTGCAAAGGTGACCCAATTTTCAATGGTGATGAAGATACATCTTATGAGAGTATATCTAAATCTCCTTATGCCCAAAGTAAGAGACTGGCAGAAGATTCTGTGCTGAAAGCAGATGGCCAGGTGCTAAAGGATGGTGGCATGCTAATGACTTGTGCCCTGAGATCCATGTACATTTTTGGAGAAGGATGCCCATTTCTTCAAGGTCATCTGGATAAGTGTCTGTTGAACAAAAACATCTACCTGCGCTTCTCCAGGAAGGAGGCTTTGGTGAACCCTGTGTACGTGGGGAACATTGCCTGGGCACACGTGCAGGCAGCCAAAGCCCTGCGAGTCCCACAGAAAGCCAAGCACGTCAGGGGGCAGTTCTACTACATCTCTGATGACACTCCTCACATGAGCTATGCAGATCTAAATTACGAGCTGACCAGGGACCTGGGGTTTGGAATCGAGCCCCGGCTCCCCATGCCTCTGACAATGTTGTATTACTTCTCGCTGCTGCTGGAGATCGTGAGCTTCTTGCTCCGGCCCTTTATCAGATACATCCCCTCCACCAACCGCCAACTGGTCACTCTACTGAACACCCCATTCACCTTCTCTTATAGAAAAGCACAGAAGGATTTTGGCTACGCGCCCCGCTACACATGGGAAGAGGCCAAGCGGTGCACTGGCCAGTGGATTGCCTCCATGGTCCCACAGAGAAGGGAGTACTTAAAAAACAAGGGTGCCTAAGTCTTAAGAGGAGCTGAGACCTGGCTAAACAAGTAAGGCCTTGAGCCAGAGGAGAGCTGGGTGAAGAGCAGCAGCAGCAAACTACAAAGCATTTAAATGAAGACTTTGTGTAACACCCCCTTCATCCTCCTCCCCACCCCCCTCCCTCCTCACCCCCCATCCCCCCATGAATAAATAAAAGTGAAATGTTCATTCGTTTGTTGAGTACAGGCTGGTCAGGGTAACTTTATTGTATAGTCCACATCCACTTCTACATCTTGTGTGGCTCAAAGTCATTACTTTAGTAAGACTCTACACAATCCATGGTGTGAACACGTCAGCCCTTCTTTTCACTCCACATTACCTTTAAGGGTTTGGTAAAGCACAGTTTGTCCTAGAACTATGATTACACTTTACAAACACATACTACTCAGCTGTACCCTGCTCAGCTCTTGCCAGCCTTACCAAACATGCAGCAGGTAGAAGCTACCTGACGGCAAAATATGTTACAGATCTTGCTCGCTTTTTCAAGAGTGTTGTCCAGTTTCAGGTGCCATTCACCTGACAAACTTAAGAGCAAATCTGGGCACTGTAAGCATCGTGAGGCTAAAAGTACAACATAAGTGCAACATAATTTTAGTTAGGACAGTATGTGGGAGAGAAAGGGGAGATTTGGTCAGGTAAAGGCTTCCTCATCCGTAATTGCATCTCCAGACCTCTCCGTACATGCTCTCTTCATCTCCAGCCTGAGCTTCAGCTCCTGTTGAGCTCTGGTCCCCTCCCATCCTGCTTCTCTGCACTCTGACCCCCCGTCAGTTCGCTCTGTGCGTGCTCCACTGCATTTCTAGCACTCATGTTTGCACACTTGCCCCATATGTCCCGCTCTGTCCTCACTGTGTCCCCCTTTAGAACCTCTCCATCAGTGCTCTTTTCCACACCCCTTCCCTCTGGCTATGCTCTGTTCCCTGCCAGTCCTCTCGGTTCATGCACCTTTCACCATCTCACAAGTAGAGAAGGATGGGCCTTGCCCCTTGCGGCAATACCATCCCAGGCAACCCAATGTCCAAAAACCTGCTCGGGGATGGAGGGAAACCAGAAACATAGAAGAGTGAGTATTGCTGTAACCGCAAGGCCCAGATGCATATCCTGGGCACGCAGGTGTCCAAGCCCCCCGTTTTCTCTCTGAGCCCCTTTTCCCCCTCTGCTCTCACACCACCAGAACTCAAACCTCCAGGCTCTTGTACCCCTGCTCTACCCCTATACCCTACTTCCCTCCTGGGGCTTCAGGAACGCAGGTGTCCAGGATTTCCCCTCTTTGATCAGTGGACAGGAGGGAGGCAGCAGACAGGGAGAGGGGTGTCTCAGTGTGATCTCCACCCCCAAAAGCTTTGTTACCCCAGTTACCTTATGGCCTGGGGCACAGGCTGGCCAACAGAGAGAGAAAAAGCCAGATGTCTAGAGGGCAGGCAGAGCAGGGAATGGTTGAGACCTCAAAAGCTCAGGAATGCCATTTTGTCGTGGTTTAGGCCTGAATGACAGCCAACCACCATGCAGCACCTCTCTCTCCCTTCCCCTCCGGCAATGAGAAGGGACAGAGAGCCAGGCTTGGGGTTCAAGATAGGACTGGGATGGGGGAAAATCCCCCTTTTATGATCACGAGCAAAAGGCAGACTCGTTAGGGGAAGAAAAAAAAGAACATACATTTATTACAGACACTAACAACACATAACAGAGTAGGACAGTGAGAAGCATTGCCACATCTTGAGAACACCTTCCCCCCCCTCCCCTGCCACCAAAAAACTCCACCACTCACTCAACCCAGGACACATTTGCCTGGCTGTGGAGAACTGAGGGTTTGCAGTTAGTGAACCTGCGTGGAAGGTTAGGTATGAGGATCTGCAAAACAGGCCAGGACACTTGAGACCTCTTGTCTTCTGCTTAGAGACATGATGCACAGGAAAGGTTGTGGGCCTGGGCCTGCCTCCAAGGCAGAAGAAGCTACAAAATGTGGAACATTTTGTGGAGCTACAGATGAGGAACAAAACAGCTTGGGGACCCAATGCCTTTAATCTTGGCCTGCTGACAGCTTTTGTATGTCTCAGAGACAATGACTCACTATCCAGGATCAAGCAATAGTAGGGAAAGAGAGGAGCATGGGACAGCTTAGGGAACCAGACCCTTACAGGACCTAATCTCAGGACCAATCTGAAACCAAGACAAATGACAACACAGGATTGATTGTGAAGGGCTCTGTGAAGACAGGTTCCGCAGAGGTTTATAGTATTGCAGGCATTAGAAATTTGTAGGGAGAGAGGAACGGGCTTACTGGCATCCTCATGGTTTGGGAACTTCTTTGGATTTGTAGGCAGAGGGGCCCAGCTTCTTGGGGAAGAGGGAACTTTGTGAAAGGAGAGTCTCTAAAAAAAGCTTTGAGCTCTTGAGGGAGCTGAAGTACTTCTGCAACTCCTCTCTAGCCTGCAATACCATTTGACATTGCTGTCAAGCCACAGCCTGATGTGGTGCTACCCCAGTACATGGGATATGGGCTTGGGTTCCCGTCTGCTTGTGAGGAGACTCCTTGATCCCCCCTCACCCTTGTTCAGATGTGTGATGATTCACCTTTTCTGCCCCGGTGACATTACCAAACATCTTGAAGGAACAGTCCCTCTCTCTGTCAGAGTGCCTTTCGGGAGAGGCTTTGGGAAAGAGGGAAGGGGACAGCCACCTTGGGTGCTGCTGCTTTAGGCCCTTTCAGGCCTCACCACTTCCTGAAGCTGGGACATTATAATTAATTTCTCCATGTTTTCTTCCCCTCAATTCCCTTCTATGGACACTGTTCCTCTTTCCTTCCCTGCACGCACACTCTTATTTCCATTTATACCCCTCTACGCACACCCTGTTCCTCTCCACTCCTCTCATGCATTTCCTCCCTCCAATCTCATGCTGTTTTCCCCTCCCATCACTAAAAGATGATTTGTCTTCTGTTTCCATCCACTCCACACTATTCCCATTCTAATCCCTGTCAAATGCCTCTGATGGGAGCTCTTTTCCTCTCCTACTCCCTCCGCTTGTGCTTTTCCCCTCCCTTCATGTTCTCATTCTGTCTAGACTTCTCTGGTAAATATCTGTTTAGCTGCAGCCCCTCTGTTCATGCCTTCCCCCCGTGAGCCTCACCATTCACGTCCTTTTCCTGTCCAGTCTCCTGCATTGTTGGCTTTTTTCTCACCAGACGATTCCTTTCCATTCCCTTCTGTACATAATCTGTTCCCCTCCAGCTCCCTCCATTTCTGTTTCCATTTCCATTCCCTTCTGGGCCCCTCCGTTTGCAGTTTGTGGCCCTCTAGTCATCACCATTCATACCCCAGTCCCTTTCATTTGCCCACTTTCACTCTGCTCCTAGGAAGAAGGCTTTGAGCTGGCCATAAGCCCCCAAAAGACTCCCAAGTATGTAAAATTCACATCCCTCTGAGTGCTGCTAGTAAAGCTCCAGATCAGCTCCACATACTTACATATACAGTGGTTCTCTCGGTTGCCTCCAGGGTTGAATAAGGCCCTCAGGATGCATAAGACAAAATACTGCTGAAGGCAGTTATCAAACCCTGCTTAGGAAAAAAAAAAAAAAAAAAAAGAAAAAAAAACACAAAAAGAATGTGTTTAACACAGTAACACCCATTATTTTTCTAGGTTAGGGATATTTCATCCTAACGTGCAGTGAGACTAAAATGACGGGTGCAGACATGGCTGCCCTGTCACTGGAGTAGGAGTAGAAAGGGCAATCCAGGCACACAGAAATAGAGAGGGAAAGGAAGGGGGAGAACAACAGAAGCAGAGTTGCTATTTAATGCATCAAAGAGCTGGCATATTACAACACGTACCAGAAAACTGGGACATCTTTGCACAGGTTTAACAGAGCTCCTAAAATACCTACAGATACTGCCAGAGAGAATAAAGGACAATTTTTCTTCCATAGTTCAGTAGATGACTCATTTCCCGAATGTGGGCTCCCATTGCCAGAGCCTACTTTGTCATTTTTGCCTCCTCAGTAAGACAGTGGCATCTTCTCATCTTGCCAAGGGTGTGTTCCCAGCAATCATATTTCTAAGCATCAAACTCCTCTTTTGCTGAACTTTCTCCTTATTTCTTGCTACCACATCCCTCCCTTCAATCCCCATGACAAGCTCTTCGTGCTCATGGGAAGCTTATTCCCATTCTGTCCCTAGCCTGCCACCCCCTCCCACCTCATCAGCAACCTACTTGTACTATGACAGAGACCCTCTCCTCCCCTTAGTGGTTTCTTCCTTCTTTCAATCACACCACAGAATTTATAATTGACTTTTTTTTTTTTTTTTTTAAAGGCAAGGCACTAATGCTCATAGACCCAAAGGAAATGCTGTTCTGCTGTCTATTTCAGGTGAAGTTTACAGTGCTGCTTGAGGTGTGTCTTGTTTTGGATGCACTTCCCACACTCAGCACACATAAAGGGTTTTTCTCCTGTTGCTGGTGTCTGTTGGCGCGAGCGCTCTGCTTGAAGCACTTCCCACAGTGGGAACACACATAGGGCTTCTCACCCGTGTGGGTTCGCTGGTGCTGGGCAAGCGTTGAGAAACCTCTGAAGCCTTTTCCACACTGCAAGCATTCAAAGGGCTTCTCACTAGTGTGGGCTCTCTGGTGATTTCTAAGGTGAGAGTTTTGGCTGAAGCTCTTCCTACATTCGAGAAAAGGGTAGGACCTTTCTCCCATGTGTATTCTTTTGTGGGAGATAAGCTGGGAGCTCACCCTGAAGTTTTCCCCACACTCACTGCATGTGAAGGGCTTCTCACCTGTGTGGGTTCTGTGGTGTTTAAATAAATCAGAGCACCACCTGAAACCCTTGTTACATTTGGGATATTTGTGGGTTTTCTCTGTCTGGGAAGCCTCATGCTGCTGAAAATCTGATGTCTAACTGACAATTTCCTCACACTCACTGTACCCAGAGTGATTGTATCCTATAGCATCTTCTGGGTGGAGAAGGATGATATAGAGGCCCTCAAGGACCTTTTCTAGATGAGTGCCATCATCCTTTCTCTCCCCAGGGAGGTCCCTCTGGTGCACTTCTGACATGTGCTGGCTCTCATAGGCCTCTGCCTTGCTACATCTCTGGAAAGCATTATCTTCAAATGTCCCTGGTAATGTCTCATATTGTTTCATGTTCTCAGGATCATCTGCCAGGGGACTGTCACCTTCATTCC